TTCTTGGGAGCGCTTCGTCGAGCTGTGCCGCCAACGCTTCGGACCGCCAGTTCGCGGTACTCGGCTGGCGGAGTTGGGGCGCTTGCCGTTCCAATCTACGGTCCAGGAGTTCGCCGACCGCTTTCAGGCGGTGTCCTGCCATGCACGTGGCGTCTCGGCCAAACAGAAGGCCGATCTCTTCGTCGGGGGCCTTCCCGAGTACATTCGGGTGGATGTGGAGATGCGCGATCCCCAGGACATCCAGACGGCCATGTACTTGGCACGGGCTTTCGAGCGTCGGGCGGCGGCCATGCCCACGGCGCCACCCCCGCGGGGTGCCCGGCCTCCACCTCGTCCCGGCCTGCCCCCGCGTGCCCCGCCACCAGCAGCGGGGGCTCCAGCTCATCCGGGCGCTGGCCCCGCGGGCGGGCAGGGCGCCCCTCCCGTGCGTCAGTTCCGTCGCCTCACGCCGGCGGAACAGTTGGAGCGCCGCCGTCAAGGGCTGTGCTTCAACTGCGACGAGCCCTATGTCTGGGGCCATGTGTGCCCCCGGCTGTTTTACCTCGAGTCTACGGACTTCGTCGACGAGGCAGCCGGGGAGGTGCCTGCTGCAGAAGCCGACGCAGCCGCCTTTCCAGACGAGCCGGCCGGCCAAGGTGTGGCCGGTGATGCAGCAGACGCTGCTAACGCCCTTGTCGTTTCTCTCCATGCTGTTGCAGGAATCCGGCCGCCCAACGCCATGCTGCTCCCCGTCACCGTCAAAGATGAGAGTTTCCTCGCCCTCCTCGACACCGGCTCCACTCATAATTTTGTCCAAGGGGCTGTGTTGCGCCGTTTGGGCCTGTCTCCAGCTGGGGGTGACCACCTCCGTGTCACGGTCGCCAATGGTGAGCACGTGGCGTGTGAGGGCATTGCTCGGAACGTGCCTGTCCGCATCGGCGATGAGGACTTCACCATCACGTGTGTTGGCCTCAACCTGGGCGCCTTCGACTTCATCATCGGCTTCGACTTCATTCGCACATTGGGCCCCGTGTTGTGGGACTGCGACGCCCTTACCATGGCGTTCTGGAGGGAGGGCCGCCGCGTCACCTGGCAGGGCGTGCCCGGCCCTCAGACGCCCTCCCCATAGCAGCCAGTGACCGCGGTCACGACTGACCCGCGGCTACCTCTCCTGGATCGCCTGTTGGCGCAGCACGGTGACATCTTCGACGAGCCAACTGGGCTCCCTCCGGCGCGCCCCTATGACCACCGCATCCACCTGCTGCTCGGGACGGCCCCAGTGGCGGTGCGGCCGTACCGATACCCGCAGCTGCAGAAGGATGAGCTCGAGCGCCAATGTGCAGCGATGCTTGCCCAAGGGATCATTCGGCCAAGCACTTCGCCGTTCTTCGCGCCCGTCCTGCTGGTGCGCAAGGCGGACAAGTCGTAGCGCTTCTGTATCGACTACCGCTCCCTCAACGCCAAGACCTCCAAGGACAAATTCCCAATTCCGGTGGTTGACGAGTTGCTGGATGAGCTCCATGGGGCTCGTTTCTTCACCAAGCTTGACCTTCGTTCCGGCTATCATCAGGTGCGCATGCACCCGGAGGACATCGACAAGACGGCTTTCCGCACCCATCAAGGCCACTTCGAGTTTCTAGTGATGCCATTTGGGCTCTCCAATGCCCCGGCAACCTTCCAGGCGCTGATGAATGATGTCCTTCGGCCTTACCTGCGGCGGTTTGTGCTGGTATTTTTTGATGATATATTAATTTATAGTCCATCATGGGCCGAGCACTTGCAGCATGTCAACATCGTCCTCCACGCGCTTCGGGTACACCACCTTCACTTGAAACGATCCAAGTGCTCGTTTGGCGCATCGTCAGTGGCCTACCTGGGCCACGTGATCTCCGAGGGTAGCGTCGCCATGGACGCTGACAAGGTCGCCGCCGTGGCTGCGTGGCCCCTGCCGCGCTCTGCCCGTGGCCTGTGTGGTTTCCTCGGCCTCGCGGGCTACTACCGGAAATTCATTCAGGACTTCGGCATCATCGCCGCCCCACTCACGCGTCTCTTGCGGCGGGACGCGTTTGTGTGGGACGACGATGCTTCGGGGGCATTCGAGGCGCTCAAGCGCGCTTTGACCACATGACCTGTTCTTTAGATGCCAGACTTTACTAAGCCCTTCGTGGTCGACTGCGACGCGTCGGGCGCAGGGTTCGGCGCCGTCCTCCACCAGGGCGTCGGGCCCCTCGCCTACTTCAGCCGTCCCTTCGCGGCCCATCACATCAACCTGGCGGCCTATGAGCGGGAGTTGATCGGCTTGGTTCAGGCCGTTCGCCATTGGCGCCCATATTTGTGGGGGCGCCACTTTTTGGTTCGCACTGACCATTACAGCTTGAAATTTTTGCTTGATCAACGATTGTCTATAGTTCCGCAGCATCAATGGATCAGCAAGCTATTTGGTTTCGACTTCTCGGTAGAGTACCGTCCGGGCCGCTTGAACATCGTGGCAGACGCTCTCTCTCGCCGGGACTTGGTAGATGGGGGGGCAGCCGTCCTGGTGGCCGCGGCTGCAGCAGCCCTCCCCGTGTCGGGACCATCCTTCGAGCTTAGTTGATAGGAACCGAGGTTCCTCCTCTGACCGAGCGTAGGTTGTAGCGGTGGGTGATCGGGGGCCGAGGCTTAAACCGCGATGGACCACGGCGGGGCGCCGTGATCTCGCAAAGGGAGAGGGTGGCGGCGCTACAGTACCGGCGCTACAGTGCCGCGGTACTGTTCACGGAAGAGAGAAGGCGGCTAGGGTATCTCCCGGCTCCCTGAGGAAGCCGGAAACAATAATTGTTTCTGCTTCCTTTCCTCGATAGAGTTTACAGGTATTTATATGTCTCTGAATAATAATAATAGAAAATAACTCTAATATTATGTAAAATATGATAAATATGGGCCTTGAGCCCCCTAACCTGCCGGCATCCTCTAGCCACTGCTGGGCCTTCGCCTGGAGTACTGGATGCCGGTCATAACACACTAGCTCAAATCCCAGGTCGTCAATGGACGCTTAAGAAAATTTCTCTCAGACCATGATTCACCTCTCCCACTTGGGTACATACAGAGCACAATTTGCTTCAGGCTTAAAAAACGAAAAATCTCCACAAGCAATTGGGGTGACAGTGTTGCAAGTACCTGGAATAACGGAGCAGGGAGATGAATTTGGATTGGTGATGCAACTTTCAGATCTGTGAGGTTGAAGGCAGCCACCTTCACGACCGAACACAGACAGGCAAAACAAATTTGCTTCAGTAAAAAAAAATCCACTTTCAGCATATAAGAACAGATTTGGTCGTACCTGGGTAGCAGCGGAAGATGAGGAGATTGGTGGCTGGATGTGTGGAAGACGATGAGATGGATCTTTGTGCTGCCTCTCGACTTCGGTGGAGAACGACAACAGTGTCCTTCAAACGTCGAGGCCCTATCAACAGCCAACCCAATCAGCAGATCTCATGGAAACGCATCTGCGGTGTGTGATTTTGGAGGTAGCAGCTCGGGATTTCGGAGGCGGCTGTGCAGCGCATGGCGAGACGAGGGGCAGCGGCGTTGGTGGACGGGGGCGGCGGGGCTGGGATCCAGGGGTGGGGCTGACGGGTCTGGTGGCTGGTTGCGTGGGTGGCGGGCAGCGACACTGGATGCGGCGAGGTCCAAGGCGCTGGGGGAATGGGAGGCGGCGGCGGATCTGGCGAGAGGAGGGAGGGCCAGGCCGGAGGGGAATGGGAGGCGGCGGCGGAGAGGCAGGCAACACTGGGAGGGAGCGAACGGGGGAGGGAGCGAGCACGGGACCGCTCGGGTCTGAGGGGCAGGGAGAGGAAAAGCCTGCGCGATTTGGAAAAAGCGGGGTGGAGCTCGCGATCTAGGAAGCGTTGCGGGCGACCGTCAGTCGCGGAAGCGCGTTCGCTGGGAGTCCCGTATCACAAGGCGTTTGTGCGGGCTTATCTGGCTCAGAAGCTGAGCGAACGCTCTCCCAAAAACGCCCCAGTCCAGCGGCTTTTCCCGTGACCATCCCAAATTCCTATTTGGTGACGTCTTGCTCATGGAGTTCGATACGGAGACTGTTATTTCCTTCCGTGTAGCGCCTCCAAAAGTCCAAAATAATTCTATTGCTTATATTTCCTTGAATTTGAAACCAGTAGCACCTCCGGATTATGGTGCTTGCCTATTCTCAAATTTAGATGTCAACATACACGATCCAATACGATTTGGAATTGGACTCCGTACCATGCTAAACAAGAGCTATTCTAACTCGTATAAACACGTGTTATATTATATATATAAGTCCAAACAGAAGAAACTCTCCATTATCCGGTAGTTAGAGGGAGATAGACCAAAAAATGGTTTGATAAAAAAATAAGCTAAAATTTTGCCTCTTTATTATTAGGTATAGATATAGATATAGATATTAGTTCCTTAGTTCCAAATTATAAGTTGATTTGATTTTTATATAGATTTTGCTATGCACTTAGATATACACTGTCTAGATACATAGTAAAAGTTGGACCAAGATAATCTAAAATGACTTATAATTTGGAATGCAAAGAGTAGCAAAGATGCCCATCTTGTGGTAGTTAGGGGTAGGTGGACAAAAAAATAGAATAAAATTTTGGCTCTTTAATTAAGTATATATAGATATATTTTGATATTGAATTATTTGATAATATATTTTGATATTGAATTATTTCATAATAATCCAAATGTGTTAATATATTTTAGCCTGGTTAAATTTTTTTAAGGTTGCATGGTTAAAATTATACTATGACTTGGAACAAAACTAGACTAATAATAATCGGAGTGCTCATGCACCCAGGACCTGATGGGCAGCGGCACCGATACCTCGGCGGTGACTATAGAGTGGGCCATGTCAGAGCTCCTAAGGAATCTAGAGGTCCTTGCCAAGGCCACCGAGGAGCTGGACCGTGTGATTGGCCGGGACCGTCTTGTGGCAGAGGAGGACATTCCGAACCTCCCGTACATGGAGGCCCATCGTGAAGGAGACCATGCGCCTGCACCCAGTCGGGCCACTCCTGACGCCGCGGCTGGCTCGGGAGGACGTGTCCGTGGGCAGCGACGACATCCCGGCAGGCACGCGCGTCTTCATCAACGCCTGGGCCATCGGCCGCGATCCGGCGGTGTGGGAAGCTCCCATGGAGTTCCGCCCGGAGCGCTTCGTCGGGAGCAGCGTGGACGTGAAGGGGCAGCACTTCGTGCTGCTGCCGTTCGGGTCCGGCCGCCGGATGTGCCCTGGCATGGGCCTCGCCCTCAGGATGGTGCCTATGATCTTGGCCAACCTGCTGCACGCCTTCGCGTGGAGGCTCCCCGACGGTGTGGAGGCCGAGGAGCTGAGCATGGAGGAAACGTTCGGGCTCACCGTGCCGCGCTTGGTCCCGCTCGAGGCCGTCGCTGAGCCCAAGCTCCCAGCTCGCCTATATGCAGGCCCGTGACCGTGATCCATGCAGCAAGCCTACCTTGCTCTTGCTGCCTACATACACATAGTACTCCGGATACGATGTCGACATGCATGCATGTGCTCTATATTGTGCCCACAATAAAGAAGAGATGTGATCATACGGCTCATATTTTTCTGTGGTTGTTTGTGTTTGACTCAAATTTATGTATCCTAAAGGAACTCTCCATGAACTTTTTGCTTAATCCAGAAATAGGCAATTCTCCCTGTACCACAGCAAAATCACTGATTTCGTCATATGCCTTTTAACACAAGCAACGACATACAGAGAATTCATGGATTTATTTGGTTGGATAAGACACTGCCACTGCTACAGGAATGGTTTCTATGGACGGCTGGTGAGGCTTTGTAGAGGCGGTTCGGCCAGCCGTTCCTACCATACCGTCTCTACAATTCATGTATTTTGAGGGGACAGTTCCCAGACCGTCCCTACAAAATCAATTTATAGGGGCGGCCGTAGTACCAGCCGCCCCTATAATACCTGTTTGTAGGGGCGGTTCAATCTAGAACCGCCCATACAGTACATTTTTCGGTCAAAAATAATTCAAATTCGACCAGAACATATATATATATATATAATTCAAATCTGACCACAAGCACAAGAGCATTATATAAAATACCATTACAGGTCCAATTTAAATAGAACCCGAATGCCCTATTCGAATTATTTTAGCAAATGCAACTTGTTAGTATCCCAAAGTGAACGTTACAAGTATGTATACAACCATATAAGCTAATGAGGATTGTCGATATGTATACGTCTTGAGAATCGATATAAAGTCTTTATATGTCACCGGATCCCTATCTATTGAATCAAAGACCCATGCCATGTTTACATCGACGTCTATACAAATCCAGTGGTTGCTGCATGAATTTAATACGGCAAGCACATTTATACTATGTAAACATGTCATGTCAATAGGCAACAAGAAATCAATAAATACTTCATCAACTAAACATGTGAAGGTGGGAAGGTACGCAGTTACACAGCTTGGAAGGCTGCAGCTGCAGTTTTCTGGTAACACACAGCAACCTAATAATTCACATGATTTGGCTGTAGTAATATAAAGAGTAAAATGTCAGTTTCAAATACTATGAATGAATCTAAGGCTGCATAGGCTTGCAATACATGGTCACATGTTTGGGCAAATAAAAAAGCACAGAGAAAGGAAACTGGATAGGCAGGAGATAACGCCTCACCTAGAGTATAGTAAATTGTTTTTTATGCTTGGAAATTCCAATTTCAGTTCCAATACTTTATCATGCATTTATAACAAACAGCAATAGCAATAAAATGGACCTATTAAATTTAAGCAAAAACAAAGGAAGATATAGCAGAAAAAGGCACATTATATACTAACCTCGAAATTGTACTGACCAGCAGGCGCAATGTAGTCTAAGCCCAAATGTATTATTTGATGGACCAGAAGAATAGGACCGAAACATATAAGGAAAAAAACAAAGAAGATAGATCTGTAGCAAACTGAAACAGAGGCACCTATTGCAGCCACCCAACCATGAATATGTGTTGAGTAAATACATCATTGGCAATGGGGTGTGCTCAGTAACATAACAACTAGGGAATTATGTGAACTAAAGACATCATTGACAATGGACCCGTGCTCAGCAACAAATGCACAAAAGCGTAACAACTAATGAAAACAAACAACACATGCAAAAGAGAACTGCTAGGCCATAATGACATTGTAGATATGAATATAGCTGCATATATATAACTGCATATATGAGTATAGAATTATAGATGACATATGAGAAGCTAAAGCCAAAGGACCGGAATAATTAGCCTCTCTGAAACACTGTGTAGCGAGGCACTTTAACTCTGAATATTGATCGGAAAAATGCATGGCCGTATAAATAGTCATGTGGCCCCAAAATTTGGCTAAACAAATTGGTTTCAAAAGCTAATGGATCGAACTTTAGAATGGGAGCCATCAATCCGTGCGATTAGTAACCTTTTCTTGCACAAATTTTGCCATAACAATAGAAAAGTCCACCACTCTCCAATCCTAGTTTTTTGGTAACATTCAAAATATTGGAAAGGAAAATGGAGAGAGGAAGTACCTAGAGGGCATCACAGAGGAGACCTGGGTTCAAAAGGGGTGCATTCATGGGACTGCTAGGTGCAACTCCGCTTGCCAATCGGTGCCCTGCACGAGGGATGTGAGGAATATCGGCTACAAAGTTCAGATATGGTAAGACGACCGAAAATTTTTGAGGCAAAAAATTATAGAGGTGCTGCATATAGCCATGGTCTGAACATTACCGTCGCCATGTAACTTGAGTGCCCTTGATTTCTGTAAAGATATTGTAGCGAGCAGCCACCCTTGCCAGCGGCGCCCAATTACCTGCACAAAGGGGAAAATGGAAAGATAGATGATCTAGGGGAGGAGCATGAGACGGAGGAGGAGAAGGGGATGAGGCACTACCACATCCAGCAGCCGAGTTGAGCCGCGGGCGCTACCAGCGAGGAAGAGGCCACCTGCAGCCGGGGTCGGCCATGCTGTGTGGTCCGTGGCTCGTGATGTAGCTGGTTTCGTCGAGCAGAGGCAGCTAGGGTTTCGTGAAGCACTGGAACACACACGAATCAGTGGAATGAGGCAGCGGCGGGTGGCACCCGCGCCTGGCGCAAGGGGGGCGTGGAGGAGGAGAAGGACGGCCGCCGCCGCGCCAAGGGCAGGCCACCGCGGAGGCCCGTCCGCGCTGCCGCCCTGCTGTGTCAGGAGAGATGGGGAGAGAGAGAGAGGTGAAGAGAAGAGACTGTCGAGACTCACCGGCGAGGGGAACGGAGGGGGGAGGAGGCCGCCGATGCGGACTCACCGGCGAGGGGAACGGAGGGGGAGGGGCGGCGGGTGCGCCGCCCTGGGGGCGTCGTCGCCTCGGGAGACTGAGAGAGATAGGATGGGGCGAGTTCTGCTTTTTTGTGATGAGGAAGGGAGCGAGCTGATATTTTTGTGGAGGGGGATTTCTGGCGACGTGGCCCGCTCCTGTCCAAGTAAGTGAATTTGAGGCGATGTGGCACAGCAGGGACGGCTGGTAATAGCCGCCTCTACATACCAGCCGCCCCTACAAATCGACGTATTTGTAGGCGCGGCTGCTGTGCTGGAGCCCGAGCACGCCACTGTAGGGGCTGCTTCAATGTCAGCCGCACCTTAAAAAACACTGTTGCTACAAACTGTTTTTCATGTAGTGTACGCTAGAATAGACGATTACCGTCGAACAATTTTAAACAATTAGTGACAGAGGACTAAGGGTATCCCTGCCGGTCCTAGATTCCAGAATGTCCGGCTTTAGGCCACGTTAGAGTTCTCAGTTTGGAGGGGAAGTGGCATTTGTGACAAATTTGGTTTTTAACAATAGACCTAACCTGTGTCGTCGGTTCATGTACACATGTTGTCAGGTATTGAGAGATATAAAATTGGTTAAATTATTTTTCACAGATCTTGATAACTCGGTCATCCTCCACTCCGTCTTTTTTTACTCTTTAGGCTTATCTATGTTTCTTTTATATTCACCATTGCTTGGCTATGTGATATGAGCTATTTTTTTCATTTAATATCACTACATTCTGTGGTTTTCACTGGTTCTTGACGTCAACATCCTCCTCTATAACACTACACCCATCCACTTGCACTAGTGCAGTGTGCGCAATAGCATAGGCTAATCTTTATTTACGCCATCTTGAAAGGAGAGACATATAATATGTTATGCTATTTTCTTGAATTGACGGTTTTCTTTTCTCTATTATTAAAATAGATAACTCGTACCATTTTATTGGGTTGTACCTCATTTCTTTTTAAACTAAACACTTTGATGTCTTTTTGCGAAAGATAATTTAAATGGACACTTTGATGCCTTACGCAATGAACAGTGCATTAATTAAATTATACTGCCTTATCTTTACTGGCGTTTGGCTTTATTTTCAAAAGAAGACAGATATGGTAACTATATTTGGGTCAACCCTTGTTATAAATATGAGCACCCTCACTCCCTAGAAGAGTGTTATTCTAACTATGAATTTAAACAAATACCTGTCTTGATTCATAGCTAGATTGACATTCTTTTTGGAACAAGAGTGTATATTGGTAGTTTGGTTTTTTTTATAAACTAGCAAACGTGCCTATGCGTTGCAACGGTATCAAACACGTGTTGGAATAAGATATCATATCATTGTTAGACGTGAGTTGTAGCACACATCATGAGTTTGAGTCAAAAATTAAATTAACTTAATGGTAAAAATCTTTGTTTCTTAAGGAGTGAAAGATTAAAATGGTTATGTTCTCTAATTTATTGTTTATTTTTTACTCTTATTATATTTATTAGAACACAAAAAACCAAGTGGAGAAAACCAAGAAGAACAATGGAAACAATTCATAAAAGGTGAGCTAGTGTCCAAACAACCATGAGAAGAAAAATCTGAGCATACTTGAAGCCGAGTAGAAAACGATCATATGACAAAAATTAAAATGTACTCTGGAAAATAGCCACGGAGAAAAATCAGAATATATTCGGATCCAAGTGAAAAATGTCCAAATGCGAACGTAAAGCAAAACGTAATCGGAGCAAGTAAAAACAGACAAACCAGAAAAATAGTGAAAAGGGACAGAAAAGGAACAAAACAAAGAAATTCTACCATTCTTTCCTCTTTATTAGATTTCTATTCTATATATATCTTTCTATTTGGATTAGGATGCCTATTAAGGTTACTCAGAATCGGAGAGATCTAATTGGATTAAGATTCTTAGCTGTCCATATGATTACTTTAAGCAGTCTTGCACTGTTATATAAAGAGAAGGGCTATAGACGGTTTTCACATTCGCAAAGTTAGCTAAAGGAGAGCCAGACAAAAAAAAAGGGTGGTGAGAAATTTTGCCTCTTTAATATTAGGTATAAAAGAAGAAGGATTTTATTATTTGAGATCATTATATCAAATTGATACAATAATCCAGAACCCACTTC